AAAAAAAAAAAAAAAAAAAAAAAAAAGAAATGGGCTTGTTTGATTGTTTGGTTTGAGGGTATTCTTTTCTTTTCTGTATTTATGGACTAAGTTTTTTTACACCAGTTTGTTTTACATTTTGCTTTCAAATCAGTGGGAAAAGATGTTTTTCTATTCAGCTATAATAATCCCAATCCTTCTAAGAAAAACATTGAAGCAAAACAGAATTGCAATCAGAAGAAAAACTCTATTTAAGTTCCTTCCAAAGCACAGCTCTTTAGATAAAGTCTTAGTCCACTATGCTATAATTCACCAAAATTCTATAAAATCCTAGCTAGATATTGTTTGCTTGAACTAGTTGCCAGTAATAAGTTTACTGTTTGGAAAACTACTTAGAAATGCATTTTTAGTTATTGCTTTCAGAAACAAAAAGGTACTGGTCCACCTACCTATAAGATCTAATATTAGGAAAGGCTCAGAGAGTTTGAAAAGTCATTTCTTTGTCTTGACATGGCTTAGGAAGTTAAAAACTTTAAAGCATTTTTTCAGCACAAACCCCAATACTTTAAAGCTTCTCACAGAAACTTAGAGCACCTCATACTGGAATGGATCCAGGTGGTTACGACATTTGTCTAGATGGCAAGTTCTCCCATTTGAGGTTAAAACAGGAATGTAATAAAAAAAAAGTAACTGCACCACAGTACTTTGGTGTTTCGCCCTCTTTCCAGAACTGGGAGATGCCCAGGGATATAAATACTTGAGTTGCTGTGAAATAAATTATTCAAGCTTTCTAGAATCTCCAGAAGGGTTTGCTTGGAGTCCTCTGAAAGAAAAAAAAAAAAAAATTGTTTCAACTATCGGTTATTGATTTGTAAATATCATCAGGTAAGAGTGGGTACAGAGGGAAAAACTATAGAAATTCATTATGCTATAAGTTATTCTGCCATATTCATCACTGTGGTATGCAGAATGCTTAGAAAAAGGAAAAAAAAAACCAAAAAAAAAAACCAAACCGAAACAAACCGAAAAAAAAAACCAAACCAAAAATGAAACAAAACCAAAAAATAAAATTGCCAAGCAGCTCCCCTCCCTCTGCCCCCAACAAGAACCCCCCAACCCAAACCGTCCCGACTGAGAGAGCGTAAGACTTGGTTTGCTTTTACCCTTAATGCTTACATTTAATTTTAAAGCACAAACATCAGAGATGGACTCTAAATCGCCAACAAAAAAATATATATTTACAATATTTCTCCGGG